ACGAGAAAATAAGAAATTTTAAGAGTATTTAGATATTGACACAAGGATCAAATCAATATTGGATGATTTTAGAATAAGTCTTTATTCTAAATAATAAGTTCAAGTATGATTTATCTTAAAAAATATTATTTGAAATAATGTATTTGAAAGGAAAATTACCTTCATATCTATTTGATAATTGGATATTCGTTATTTGATTTCGTTACAAAAATATAGGGATGTGATTTCTCTGCAATGGAATTTTTATCTCCAAGAATCATATTTCCATTTCTAACAAGATAAAATTTGAGTTTTTCTTATATATCAGGAACTACTTATCATCGTTATCATTAATTTTTGTATTCTTATCTTTTATCTCCTATTATTATTATTATTATTTGAAATAATCAAACGTTTGACAAGTGAAATATTAATTTGAAAATAATTGATCATAAAAGTTGCCCAATTCGAAATGAAATCGACATTTCAGAATATTTTAAACGTAATCTTGCAAATTTCAGTGCGATATAAAAAATATTACCGACGAGTATCACAAAGCATGCGACGATATAACGAAACGAGCGGAAAATCTTTTGGAAAATATTCAGAGAACATCGAGCACTATGATAGATCAATTGGCGCGGGATATCGAATCGAGCAAGAAGAACGAGCAGGTGATGTTGCAAGGGATATTGCAGGATATAAAAAAAACGCTTCAAAAGTTGCTAGCCCTGGATCCAATGTTCGGCTCCCATAAAAGGAAATCTGCGATGTATTTGAGCAACAAGGTCCATCAAGCTTTCAACGACGTGGAACAGAACTCGATCCCTCAAATAAATCGGATGATAGAGATCGTCGATAAGCTAGAGCGCGACGTGTCAGTTTGTATCGACCGAGCCAAGTCCCTGATATTCTCGTGTAAAAAGTGTAAAACTGCCGAGTCATTGGCGAAATGCATCGACGAGAATACGAAATACGCGACCAAGATATTGGACAAAGCGTCGCATAATGCGCAAAACAGCTTGAACGAAATGGAATCGTTGAAACGGGAAACTTTGGACTATCACAAAGCGACTTTGCACTGTATCTCGCGAAGGTGTCGGAAGGATAGCGAAAAACTTTTGACCCATTTGAACAATTGCGTTTTGAGCGTTAAAAACGGGAAGAAAGGAGGATCGCGTTAAATTTTTAAAAGAGGAATATATAGTGGCGTGAGTAATTGTCGTTTCGTTTGTTAATTACCATCTTGAAAGAGCGTCTGTCTGGGAACGTTGAGGTTCGATGGCACGTTTGGGGTTGAATTCGTTAGAAATGCTCGTCTGACCTTGTTCCATTTCGAGTCTTGCCTCTGCATCTTCGACATCAATGTTTCTCCACCGTACGATTGCTACGCATTGGAACGAAAGTGTGAAATTTAATTTAGAAGCTGGTTCACGAACAAAGCTTAAAATACGCCTGAACCTCTTTTTCTTTCTTTTTTTTTTTTTTCTTTTGTAAAGCAAATTTTAACTCGAGATAATTCTAAGAAAATATTTTTTTCTTCATTTCTTCAACACATCAATTTTTCTTTTATCAATTATATACGCATCTATGTTTTAAATTTTAATTTTTGTTAACAACAAATCAATTGTTACGCGACTTCTTTTTTTGTATGCATCCACCACGCGCAAAGAAAGATCCAAGGTGTAATAGTTTGTAAAGAATTCAACATATATAGGGTGTCCTGTAAAATGTACTTTTATCGAGAATGTGATAGAAAAGTAAGGGAAAATAAATAATGCGATCAGAATTAAAAAAAAAAAGAAAAAAAGTCATACTCTGTGCACAATGATTCAAACGTTGAAGAAGAAAATTAAATCTTAACTTATCGCTATTAATCCTACTTTTAATCGTCGAATTCACGTTTTTCAATCTTTTTTTCCTCTCTCTCTCTTCTTTTTTAAAGTGAGTGAAAATTTTTATTTTATAATATAGAGAAGACGCCTAGATAATTTGCCTAGTCTGTAACACGAGAGACTCACAATAAGAGAAAGAAGAAATCTTACTAACCTGTCGTTTAAAATCGTTCTTCGCAGATTGGTCTCGATACGTCTTCCTGTGTTGCGGAGAATTTCCGGCAGAGGCGTTCGCGTTGAAAAAGAGCGGTGAGCTCGATTCAGGGGACGATGTGTATCTGATATCCTCCTCGTGCGAAGGTATTGCAATCGTTAATGTCGGTGTTGATCTCTTTGATATCGATTCTCCTTCATCCTTCTCGTCTGTCTTACCCCCGTGACTCTTGTCCGACGTGATACGTATTAAAGGCTTCCCTTGGCCAGCCTAGTTGTAGAAACATTCGTGTTGTGATATTTGAATAAGTATTGAAAAATGGTGAATTGTTGTCTTCGCAATAATTATTACGAGAGTAAACGTCCCGTGGAAAATTTGAGTTAAGTTGAATCTATCGCTGTAAAAATTTTGTTAAACGATTTTGTAAAAGTATCTCCATTAATATAATATCGCATGTATATGTATAAAGTACACACACACATATATATATATATATATGTAAATTGATATGACTGAATAAAGTGATACAATAATTGAAACAAATTTAATCTTTGTTTTGTTAAAAAATTAGGAGAATTTCATTCGGTATTTACCTCATTTGTTACTCCTGTCTCGTGGGGTTGCAAAGTATCCATGAGAATATTATCATCGAGGGATTCGCTATGCCAATTTGCAAAATCCGCTTTTTTATTAGATCTTCTCTTTAAAGATTGGCAATCTACTTGGTTCGTACTTGCAGCTCTCCGGCCTAGAAAAATTCGTTGAACTTTTTACAATCGATTAGTTATTAATTGTATATACCGATAAAATATAGAATAATTTAATAGCTTAAACGATTAATCGTCCAATGATCAAAAAGCGGATATACATTCCATCGAAACGAAGAAGAAAAGGATTACAATCGTAAAATCCATCGTTGGACGAAGAGGGCGAGGATGTTCGAGCGACAGGCGTCCCCTTCTCGTTACAATTCTCGTTAACAGGCGACGAAGTCGAGTCTCTCGCCTCTACGTCTTGATTTCTGTGCCTAGCGGCGATCAGGGGTGGCGCGCTCGAATCCGCGTTCTCGGCGGTGTCGTTCGTGTAGGCCCTTTCCCACTTGAACGCGGCCTTAACTCTGGTCCACTTGGAGACCTTGGGCGCGGCTCCAGAGATCTCGTCGAGCTGCGAGATTTGCTTGTTGTCCACGTCGAATTTGTTCCTCGCCTGCCTCGACCCCGACCTGGCGCCCCTCCTCTGGAACGGGGAGTCCCTGCAGTTGGACAGCATAGCGTCGAGCAGCGACTCGGCGAAGCCGGTGTCCTCCTCGCACGCGGCGCTCTCCCCGTTCCCGCGCGCGAAGGCATTCTCCAACTTGTGGTTCGCGTCCCTCAACACCTTCAACCGTTCCAGATTCCTCACGCGCCTGAAGAACTTGGCGTTGCGATCCCTCAGCTCGAGAATCTGGTCCACGAACGCGTACAGCCGGTCCAAATGCTCGAACGCGTCTTCCGCGTAAAGGCTCGAAATAGCCAGGGCGGAATTTCTCGACGGGCAGCCGGACGTTTGACCCTCGAACGGCAGCGAGCCGAGGTCGTCGGTCAGGTAGCCGATCATGTCCTCGTCCTCCTCCAGGCTCCGGCTGTTCCTCCTCCCCGCCTGAGGATTGGCCAGCCAGAGATTGGCCAACCACGGGTCCGGCGGTGGCGCGGGCAGCTCGCTCTCCTCCGCTTTCCGCCTCGAACCCGGCCTCGATTGCGCTCTTTGTTCGCCGTTACGGCCCCGACCCGCTTGCTCGCCCAATTTCTCGTTCTCGGCCATCTGGCTGTGCTCGTCTCCACGACATGTATGACGGATGATTCCGATTGAAAATTCACTCCCTCGATCCGCCAAATATATAGGGAGGGGTTTAATTTTCCGGATTCAGAGCTTTTTGCAGGCCACCTTCGGCGCCAAAATTTAATGCGTTCGACGCATTTAATCCTCGACAAAATAAGGGTCGAGTATGTAACGCTGTGCAACAAAGGTTTATTCGAATCTGTTTATTTTTAAATTAAATCGCGCGTGGAATCGGAAAAGAACGACGTGTTTAAACGTAATATACTCTCCCCGTTGTATTTTATTTTTAAACATCTTTAACACATCACAGGACGGGTAGCATCACTAAATATCACCAATAACTTACAAATTACACAGTTATGCTGCATTATCTACATCTCTCCTTCGCAACGCGTTACCGCAGAACCGACTCACTTATACTATGCTCAACAGTCGATGGATCGTGAACCATTTCCCTACTGTTTCACATGTCTGGCAGATCGACGAAAAGATGCTCGACAGATCCTTCATTTTGTCTGATCTAAACACGCGCGCACAGGAATCGAGCGGAATTTTATTATATCTCGTGAGTTCACGAAGCAACGTCGAGGGAAGATGGGAGGAGGAGGACGATGGAATATCTCGAAGGTTCACGTTGGGAATGCATTTTTTGGCGGTGTCGGGAGGGCCGCGGAAGAAGAAGCGGTCCGAAATCGCAGCGACGTCGTCCTCGCGTGATTATTTTCGGTAGCGAGCATTCGGCATTCGGTATTTACAACGAATACGAAGAGCGGTGTATTCGTGACAGGCTTGGAACACCGACGCTCGGCGAGCATGCGCACGAGCGAAAAGAGACGGCTCTTCCTGTTCTCCTCTGTCGAAAATAGACGGTGGAAAACACTATGGCGCGCGTATCCTCTCGAATGGCCGCCCACGTTCGTATTTATACGCGTCTGCATACTGTCGCGGTGTGTTTCTCGAGGCAACCCCCTTTTTATAAAATAGGCAAACAAATTAGAGAATACTTGCCCCTTTTTTGCCCGCAGTGAAATTTTGTACAAATTTCGTTTGGTTGTTGTAACTGTACGAACGATTTTTATCTTAGTAAAATTCATTGTCCGATTATTCTAGATCAATTTTCGTTATTCGAACGAAACGTTTGGTACATTTGAGATGTGTTTGAGCTGAATTTGTTTTGATTAATTTTCTATTACATTCTCGATCGAATTATATAATGTTGATGGCCAATTAATGTCCTCTTCTTCGTTGTATTTTATCGTTAGTCGGTGTTTCTTCCAAGTCGGTGTCGTCTTGCAAGTTTATATTATTAATCGAGAAATGATTGACAAACAAAATTGCAGTTTCTAATGAAATACGATCGCCATTGATGAAAATTGGATAAAAGTTGAGTTGAGCTCGCGAAGAAAATTAAGAGTCAATTGAATATTGATATCTCACAATTAATGTGAATGTAAAGTGAACTTTATACTTGAAGAAGAAGAAACTTGAAATACTAGTTATATTTTTTTATCTCAATTTGAATATATAATTAAATGCCTGATATATAAATTGAAGATATGTAAAAATTATTAGGTAATTATTATCTTTGTAAAACAATTTTTAATTGTACATTTAAAAGAAAATAATTCGTGAAATTCTTTCGTATATGTGTATTCGATTAAAAGTTATGTAAAATCCTGTTATATATAAACAATCTGATTATATGAACCTGTTTGACGTGTGACACTAAACAAAATTTCTTTGTAATAAAGATAAGTCGAAAATTAGAATACATTTTTAAATACGAATTTATTTTTACCAATGAATCAAACTCTTAAGTTAAAATAAAAAAAGAAGTAATAAACGATTAAAAGAAAATAACTATGACAATTTTCCAAAAATCACTTTGTAATAGCATCAGAAACTCTGCTGTGAAAGCAACACTTGCAATACAACTACAGCCATAGTTTTCCTCATATCGTGTAATATAATATTTAATTACGATTGATAAAACTGTTGATATTGAAATATGTTGATAATTGCTCTTTTCTAGATATTTTTCTGGAAACTTCGAAATTTCGAAACCTTTCTTTTCTCTCTTCTTCAATATACTCGTAAATACTTCGAGGTGAGAAATTTTTCCCAAAACTCTTACGATTCCTTTTCGACAAATTAATCCGTCGCAGAAGATATTAATCCACGAAATTTCGTATTGAATTATCGTACGAAGCAATAAATGGAACGGGCTATTTCAGTAAGTAGAACATTTGATAAATATTCGAAAAGCAGAACTTTGAAATGGTAGATTTCCATTTCATGATTTCATTCATTCGCCGAATATATAGCATTAGAAATATTGTGTAACGTTTGTGTATATAGATCGCAGACATATTTAACACGCGTGCAATAACATTAAATCATTTTCTTAAAATATCAGAAATAATCGTTTCGATGAATTCCACGGTGATCGTGTTATAATTAGATACTGGTTATCAAGAATATTCGATTAAATCTTATTTCGTTAATTGATAATTACAAAGTGTAATAAAAAGGGAAGGATTTCGTATAATGCTTCTTTTTTTTTTTGTATAAAAAAAAAAAAATTTTTATTCTCTCCGTTGTAGATTTGCAAATTACATTGTGCTCACAATCATGATGCAATAAATTAATCATCATTAATCCATAATTTGTCAAGATTATATAAGACCATAGAGGAATGTTAACGAGTTATTCTTGCATCGGTAACCGGGTTAGATCAGTCATTCGTGATCCTGCAACTGCGGCGCCTGGAATCATTGGTTCGTTAAAAATTTTCCCCCACAACCTTCTTCTTTTTTTTTTTATTTCTACAAAAAAAAAAAAGCTAGAGAAAGTGGAAAATTTTCTTTCGTTTACTTATTAAAATTCCTGACATAACGATGATACTAGAAGCGCACTGTACATTTAGAAATAATTTACTAAAACTACCGACCAAGTATGGAAATATTCTAGATAAACCGATGATCGTACCCCTGAAATAAACCATGAAACGATTTAACAAAAATTTCATGGCGTGCACCAGAGAGAGAGAGAGAGAGAGAGAGAGAGAGAGAGAGAGAGAGAGAGAGACG